TGGCTTCAAAGGTTCTCACAAAGTGCCCCAAGTACAGGGTTTCCATCTCATCATAAGGCTTTTTTCTTTGTCCCTGCTAAATGGATTGCTCCATCCTGGGCTCCCTCTGCATAAGTCAGCTTGCACATGATGAGCTTTGCAGCAATGAAATTCGTTACCTTAACCACAAAAAACCAGAAACATTTGCTGCAACTGTTAGAATGCTTTTGCACCTAATTTCAAAAAAAAAAAAAAAAAAAAAAAAGGGGGTTTCCTCTCTTCCTTTCCCCTCCTCCCCGCCTACTCCTAATCCCATGCTAACACCTTTGTAAAACCTGGGGTGAGTAGTTTGGAAATTGAAAAAGCAGGGAAGGGGGGGGGCAAAAAAAATAGAAAAATATATCAGATCTCCAGACAATGAAATTGAGCAGCTATCTCTCATATCCTGCAGTGCTCAGGCTGAGGTCATAAGTTAAACAGGACATCAGAATAGTTGATGTAATTTGCTTATTTAGGATCAGAGCATTCAGTGACGTGCAAGAGACAACCTATTTGAATGTGCAGATAATCCCCCTGTCAATGTGGGGCTGTTCAGATGCACAAACTGCAGCTGGAGCCTGGGATTTTTTTTCCCTTGCACATTTATTTTTGCAGGGGATATAATTGCAATGATTTTTCCTTGCAGGAAAGCCTTGAAACCTCACCTGGGATCAGCCTCCTGTTGAGTAAGGTATTGTTCAAGCAGGGTCCCTGCCCCAGCCAGCTTAAAGGCTAAAGGGTCAAGTCAAACAGAGGGTGGGAAAGGAAGGAGAGGCCCGGGGGAGGTGGGGGTGGCACAGCGGCTCCGCAGGACCCGGGTCCCCCAGCCTGCTCCCCCCACCCCGTACCCGAGCGAAGCCTCAGACCCTGAACTGAGCTGAGCAGCAGCTACACTTTTCAGTAAAACCCAGCACAGCTTTTCTGCAGATGGACAGGCCCTCCTGGCTCCAAACACAGCTGCAGAGCCTCACACCAGTGAGGGTTTTACAGCAGTTAGAAACCTTTAACCACAAGGTTCTTCCAGATTCCAGGAGGAATTTCTTGGTGAGCCCAAACAACACTGAACACAGTTGTCCCTTCAAGCCATAGTGACAAACCCTTGTGATATAAGGGTAAAGCTAAAAACTTGCAGTGTTCATCTCCTCAGTTTATCACCATCCAAGCTGGGATTCCTCCCTGTCAGCAGCACTGCTCACCCCAAGCTTGCCAGCCCTGTGCCTCCACTGATCTGCTTCCACACTAGTGTTCTTTCACTGACACAAGTTGACTGGGCCAGACACCTCAGCCATGGGAAGTGAAATGTCCTGGGCCCTCGGACTCACCAAGCAGCCAGTGACAAGGCCCTGGCACAGTGGCAAGTTCAGAGGCGTAGCACACACCTGCTTTGGGTGGACTTTCAATCACATGGCATGGAAAAGCAAGATGGCAAAAGTCACACCAGTCATCCAGGTAATGGATCCTGCCAAAACATCGCTGTTCTCCAGAGACAATTCATTCTCATTTAAGAGTCTGGAATGACATGGAGACATGGAGTTCATGTTCTCCTTCTGTCCCACCAGGCCACACCCAAGTGTCACAGCAGGGTGTTTCAAACAGGGACAGCACCAGGAAGAGTGGGAGACAACCACTGCTGGAGCTAGGAGAGGAGCTGAATTTCACCCCACTACAAAATGACCCCTCTGTCAGCTGTCTGTGCCTATGCACTGGAGCCCATGCCTTCTTCGGCAGGTTTGGGTGTTTTTTCCTTCTTTAACTGCTAGTTCTGTGTTAGAATCTCCTCCAAGCTGTGGAAAGCAGAGCATCAGTGATTGCCTGGGTGAGTCAGGCTGTGAGCTGATGCTAAGGCTGCCCACAACAGCCTCCAACAACTCCGTAGAGATCTTCCTGACTACTGTAACAGTTCAGCATCTTGAATTGATCATGTCTGAACACCCCAAACATTACTTCACACTGTCCCTTCCAGAAGGAAGTATTTCAGCTATCTGGAAAGAACTAAAATACAAGATACCCAAATATGTGCAGAAGTGACAGGCAAGTGATATTTGCATTTCAAATACAAGGAATGGGTTTGTAACATTTTAAGGCCACGAAATGTAGAACTTCTATAGGGGTTTTTTGCATGTCACCAAAAGATAGAATTAATCTATTTTCACTCAGCCCCACTAAAACATTCCTCTCCAAAGACGCCACCAGGCCCAGCTACTCTGCAGGGGTGGCTTCACCAGGATCATCACTGAGTCCTTACAATGCAGCACTTGAGGAACACATGGAATGAAAAGGTCATTCCTGCACCATCACTGACACCTTTGGCAGCAGTCCACACTCCTGAAGCCTTTAACTGGAGAGACCAAGCTGAAGTCCAGCACACGTGAGTGCAGAAATGCTGAGCAGCTCCTGGATGACACTCCCTGTGCACTTGCTGCTCTAGGTCAGACAGAGGTAGCCAGTATTGGACATTGTTTTAACAGAAGCAGTATTTTGGCAGGGTTACAAAGCAAGCCCATTCTTTACATCTGCAAAAGAGAGCTCATCCATCCCTGCTGAGGGAGCTGACAGAGGAAACGTATTTTCCAGCAGTCTTGGGTACAACATTGAATTGGGACCTATTTTTACCACGTGCTCTGCACTACACGCATTAATTGTTATGACAACATTTGCTGCCATATTCACTCCAGTCATTTACAGAACAGAACTCAGGAGACAAAACAAGTCCCTGCTCCATGAGACAGAGGGAGCAGGCAGGATGCCACATTACTTCCTGTGACACGCTGCCAGGGCTGGCAACACAGATAACCCATCCCGTGCTGCTAGGTCAGGCCCAGCTCCATGCAGGAGATGAGGAGAGGGGCCCAGCTCATGCCCATCCTCCTCCTCCTGCCTAGCACAGACACAGCAGCACTCAGCTCTTTCTGGAGCCCTGCTGGTGTGCCCACCATGCTCCCCCAATGTAAGGGCAGCCAAAACTCTTTGTCACCACTCTGTCACCCCTCAGCAAAGTGCTCTGCAAGGAGGAGCAGGCCTCAGAGCAGTCTGGGAGCCACAAGATCTGTGACCCAGCTTTGGAGCAGCACAGACAGGCTGGCAAGAACAGCTCAGCAGTTTCAGGATCCGGCCTCCATCCTAATTAAGCCCAATTAGGTTTACAAAGAATGAGGATGTTTTAGGAAGGATGTATAAAAGAACTGCTGAGGTCTCTGTAGGCCATGTAGGCCCGGAGCACCCTCCTGAAGGCAGAAATTGCCTCTGTTGATGTGGGCTCTCAGTTTTCTGGAGTGCTGGAGGATGATCCTGCTGCCTGTGCAGCACACGGCTCCCCTTGCACACAACCCCAGGAAATGCAGCTGGGAGAGCTGGGATTCTCCTCCAGAGGATGAGCAGCACATCAGCCAAACCTGCGCTGTCCGCACAGCTGAGTAAAATCTGCTCCAAAATGCCAATGCATTAAATGAAGGTAAATATGATTCAGAACAGGGAGAGGTTTGGCAAATCAGCATCTTCCCATGCTGAGGGGTATAAAACATGCAGCTGTTCCACCACCACAATTTCCAGGGAAGGCATTTCTCCTGGAAGTAAGAGAACACTTAGTATATATTCCTAGCCAGATTGATTACCCCTATTTATATTGTAAACTAAGACAGCATGTACTAAACCCATAGAGTTAACCAGTTCCAGACTCCAGATCCTGGGTGAGGGGTCAGTTTTCCATTGTCTGCTGCACAGTCTTGTGCATTTATTAGAGAGCACAGAGTTTCCTGAATCATGATTTTGTGTGTGTGCACGCTTATTTTTGTGGTATTTCAACAGCCATCAGGAGGAACACTGCTATTGTATGGGATGTCAGGGAACTGGAGAATCCATGAGGTTTTTTTAAAGGTTTGTTTAAAACAGCAAGAAGTCAGCATGCCACTATAAATACATGTATGTAGAACAACTGCAATCTGTTCTGGGACAATAAAACCACAGGACTGAAGGCAGTATCCCATAGCTGAATATATCCATTTATCCTGCAGTAAGATGAACCCCTGTTCTGTGGATCCGATCTGCAGGGAGTTTCATCAGTCTCCTCTCACAGCCAACCTGCCCAGCTGGACAACTCTCATTTGCTTTCTAAGTTACAGATCCAGTTTCAGCATCTGACAGCAAATATAAACAGAGGTTCAGGACATGCTCTCTGGTGTGTCTGCTCCTACACCACTTGTGCAATTCCACTGGGCCAGGAAACCCCAGATCTCCACCATGAGGCACCGAGCCAGACTCATTGTCTTGTTTATCCCTAAGAAAAAGCAAATTTTCTAAACAACTTGCTTCTTTTTCTCTCTTTAAACACTGATAAGGTGAGAGATGTTGAAGTTCCCTGTTGGTTTATAATGCAGTTTGGGAAGGGATAGGTTTCGGCGTGTTGCTGTAACAAACACAATAGTAAAATTGGAAGAGATGGTGATTTGAGCTAACACAATTAAAATTTATTCTTAAACAGCAATCCACAGATATCCTGTGCCAAACACAATCTGGAGCCATCAACTAGCATGGACATGAATTAACCTAATAGCTTCTGGAAAAAAAAGAAGTCCTATGAAAAAATCCTCCTATTAAAGTAATTAAGTGTTAACAGAATCACCGAGCCATAATTAAACATGGTTTATAATTAAAACAGCATGTGTCCTAGACAGAGAACACAGCAACAAAGAGAGTCCAACCATGACAGTTGATGCCAAAACACAGGCCAAGTACCAAAAATCGGAAAAACAGGCGAGTTTCTAGCAAAGCTGCAGATGCAGAGCCTCTGATCCTCTGACTGAGCCCCCAGCACTGTGACGGATGTGACCGCGCTCAGAACTCCTCACGGCTTTGCCAGGTGCTGCCAAAGTTCAAGCAGAACTCTTGGGAACCAAGAAGGCACCGAGTGCAAGGCCCAGGACACCGAGGCAGCGCAGGGAGCGGTGAGTGAGCGGGAGCCGGGGCTGGAGCCAGCCTCGTCCTACCTGGCAGCGGCTGAAGATGTCACCCAGGGACACCTGCACGTTGAAGTGCTTCAGCACCTGCAGCGCCTGTTCCTTCGCCTTCTCGGAGCAGTTCACAGAGAAACACCTTCCTTCTCCCACCTGGGAGCGCAGCTGCAAACCAGAGACACCAGTGAGGCCGAGCGTCAGGGCACGTGGAGCTCTTCTGATACTCTTGGCTTGGTTTGAATTCTGAATAAGGCTTGGAGTTAGGGTGTGTTTACAGTCTGAATTCTGGTCTGGGCACCACAAATGGTAACTTAACAGCCACTGCTGCAAGAGCTCTGACTATTGAAGCACTGCATGATTTTATGTGTATGAAATATGATTTAGGCTGGAGAAAGGAAGGCTCAGGGGGACCTTCTCACTCTCTACAACTCCCTGGCAGGAGAGTGCAGCCAGGGGCGGTTGACCTCCTCTCCCAGCTAACAAGTGACAGAACAAGAGGAAATGGCCTCAAGATGCTCCAAGGGAGGTCTAGATTGGATTTCAGGGAACATTTCTTTACAGAAAGGTGGTCAGGCATTGGAATGAGTTGTCTGGGGAGGTGTTGGAAGTGTCATCTCTGGAAGTGTTCAAGAGTCATCTGTATGTGGCACTTGGAGACATAGTTTAGTGGGGACCACGGTGGTGATGCTGGGTTAACAGCTGGACTTGATAATCCTAAAGGTCTTTTCCAACCTTAACAATTCCACTATTCTATTCTATAAAATATACCCAAGTCCTGTCCATGCACAATTTGGTGAGGTGGTGCTAACAGGGGCAGCAAAAGGAAACTAAATTCAATCCCAGCTTTCTGATGAAACTTGACCAGATCCCACAGAGTGTGCCAAAGCACAATGATGGAATCAGTGTCCAGTGACCACTTCAACCCCTCTGATTCACACAAACATTTCACCTGGAGTTCCCTGGTGGACAAGAAATTTGAAGGGGTTGATATGGGCAGCCCCTCAATGTTTGTTCCACACTTTGCAGAGAAGTGCATCTGGGAATGAGCACTGGGAAGTCCCAGACACATCTTCATGACCATGCTTAGGACTTACAGGAGTGGAGTCAGCTATACACCAGTAAAGGAGCCTGGCAGAGCCATCCCATCCTTGTGGAGGGCATCCAAAGGCAAGGGAATAGAGAGAACCAGACATTTCCCAGGAGTATTGTACCCTGGAAGCAGTTATTTTCCTTTTGCAATTCCTACACAGTACTTTGAAGTTAGAGCTCTGCCAAACAAGATGATGCTGGATGCTGAATTCCCTATTCCACCAGCTGTAGGCTCAAGAAACCTGCAGGGTGGCTGCATGTGCCTCACAGTGTCTCATTATGGGAGGAGTTTTATTCCACTCTGATTTTCCATAGGAAGTCAGCAACCCCTGTTCTGCAAATATTCTGAGTGGCTGCCCAAGTAGCTGGGAGATTTTATACTGACAGTTTGTGACAAAGAAGTCCTGCACCCTGGCTCATGTGAACAGAACTCTGGCTCATCCAGAACAGTTTCACTCTTCCAAATGGATTATTAGGCAGTAAAAAATTGCAAAGAGCCTGCAACAGGACATCACAGCACTGCAAGCACTGACTTGGCAGCTTCAGCACTGCATTTTGAAGTGTGTCTGTGAACAGCTCTGAACAGGTGGTGCTGAGGGCAAGGTTGGCCTTTGCTTTGGCTTTTCTGTTTATCTATAGCAATACAAAACCTCTCCAGCTTCCACCAGACTCTTGCTCGGGGCCTTCCAATCTCCCCCTTCCAAGCCTGAAGAAATGTCCCTGAGGGCTGAAACTCTCTCAGTGTGGAGCCAGCCAGCAAGCAAGAATCTCTGGGATAAAAAGCACAGAAACTGAGCTGCCTTTTCACCTGCCAGTGAGGCCAGACAGAAACACACTGTTCTGGATTGCTTGGCTTGACTTCCACCCCCACCCCCAATGGAGAGCAATCGCTCTTGCCATGATACACGACTGAATGTAAGTATAAAGAAGCATTTCACCCTGGGCCTTGGTGGTTGAGAACAGCAAACCTCTGAAGACCCTAAATGTAGCTATTAGTGGAGAAAACATGAAAAATCCAAGCCAGCTGTTGCATTCACGTCTGACTTTTCCTCTTGTCTCCCCTGCACACACCAGACCATGCAATGATCAGTGCCAGAAACACGCCAGCAGCTTGGAACACTCACAGTGTGATATGGGAGTCCAGAGGTCAAAATTACTCTTCCTTCCTGTCGGGCTATCTGGAAAAAACAGTAAAAAATCCAAATGAACAGGGGCTGAAGTTACACTGAGTTCAAGATCTACTTGCAGTCACAGAAGAGAGGAGGTGAACTGGAGATATTGAGTGTTTCTGTCAGTGTCAGTCCACACCTGGTCAAGAGTTCCTGACAGCAAGAGCAGCTCAGGGTATGGCTCCCCCCTTGTCCCCTCCCTGCCAATCCCTGCCTCATCTCCCATGTGCTGGAATAAGCTGCTGGTGCATCTGTACCACATATGGCCCAGGGAACCATTCCACCTTGAAGCAATCCTATACAAAAACAATCTTTTAATTTTTTCCCTTAACCCAGACTATTTCTATTTCCCCAGTCTAGGTCACAAAGAAGGAAACAGTTCTACTGCACAGGGGAAAAAGGAAAAAAAAACCTAAGCAGGTAATTCTAGAAAAAAAATGCACCATGAAATGTGTCTGCAAACTTCATACCTTTAACAAAACTGCTCCTTAGAGAAGGAGGGTGTTATTGTCCTGGCAACCCAACACACAGGAATTCTGCACCTTTCCAGGCTGCAGGGAACATCTCCCGTGAGTTTATCACCTCCTGACTTGGAATCCTGAGCTTTTGTCAGAGGTCTGGTCCTTCAAGTGGAAGGTCTGTGCTGAGTTCCCAGGGAGCTCATCACTGCTCTGCTGACCTTCACATGGGCTCGGGGACACTGCAGAGGGGTCACTGCCAAAGGGAGGCACTAAATCTGGAGCTGCAAGGGTGGAAGTGTGACTGACCTTCCTTCACATGATTGAATGACGTCCTTCCCTCCCACCCCTCACCCTCCTGGAGGAGAGACAGAACCTCATGGCTGCAGCAATAGGAGGATTCACAAGGATTCCCATGTGAACCAGGACTCAGCTCTGATCCTGCTGACAAGAGATCAGTGCTTTGAAGTAGGCACAAGGTTATTTCTCTCCTCTGGCTTGGATTCTGATAGAAGCCCTCATGTTTTTCACTGACTCCAGATGTGTGTCATGGAGGTCTCTCATCTGGTTCAGAGTGCAGCAGCTCTGTCTGGATCCTTCTCTACCCTTGGCAGGAGGACACATTTGGGATCAGAGTCCTGCTGCACTTCCCAGAGAGACACCAGCGAGTACAGCCAGGGAACAGCAGACAAACCAACTACAACTTTTAAGCTCTGTCTTGGGTAGTCATTCTCTTAAGACTCACTGGACCTATAGCAACAGGAAACAAGGTGGAGAAGGCTCTGAAGGCCCTGTGCAGGCAGCTAAACAAACTGGTTTCTTCCCTTTTTTCCTCTTCCTGAGCTTTCAGGTATCTGCTTCCCTCCTTTAGTTGTGAAGTCACTCTTTGGCTGAAAGTTCTGCACTGAGAAGGTGGCTGGCAACAACTTCTAAAACATCTTTCTACAGGCAAAATTACTGGATTTCTTTCAAAATCAACCCTCTCTTTCTCAATAAAAGAAAAAACCTCTAAGAATAGGAGCCTTGAAGGGGCAGCACAAACACCCCATGCAGTCCTGCTGCTGAGCAGCCAACACAGCACCCTTGTGGCACAGTAGTGAGGGAGGTCTGGTAAGGCAACGACAAAAGGTCACCACAGGGATTTGCTGACAAGGGAAAAGGGATGTGAAATTCCTCCAGACCCGTGTTTGCTTCAGGGTAAGTCTGAGGACTTCACAGCTGGAACACTCCATTCTGACTTTCCACATCCAGGGTTAATTAGTTCAAGCTTGATAAATCCCCTTATCTAAATGGCTCTGCAGAGACAGGCAAAGAACATCAAATAAAAAGGAGAAAAGCAATAACTCTTCCAACATGTTTTTCTGCCTCTGGAACAACGACTGGGAGAAGCACGCAGAGCCAGAAAAGCCATGTGATAGCACACATCTGACTGAGACCACAGAGGGTATGTGCTGGAGAAAAGGGCACAATTCCTTCTTTTTCTCCAAAAGCAACAATGGAAGGCAGCTCTGGGACCATCGGGGGATGTGTGGTCAGGGATGCAAATGAGAGGAAAAGAACACCCGGGCAGCATTTTGGCATGGGTGTCAGGAACCTGTGCTCTAGCCCAAGCGCTGCAGAGAGGGCATTGGCCTCAGTTTCACAATCTATTACAAAGATAATATCAACTTCCTCTGGAAAAGGCTTAGACCTTCTGGATAAAAAGCACTCCCTAATCTGTTGGTATTACTGATTATCCCTGTCTGTTCAGCCAACTTCCATCCTGCAGAAATGAATGAACCTACAGGAATTACTGTCAGAGAGACCTGGAAGGGCAACAACTGAGAGAGGGCAGAGAGAGCCCCTTTGTTTCCAAGCCAGCACCAGCAGCAGGATGATTTGTGACAATCTAAAGCGTCCTGAACAAAGGCCAAAGGAGGCTCCAAAAAACAGCAGCACAAGGCTGTGGATTTGTAAGTTAAACTTTGCCAAGTCTGTGCAAGACACATGTTGGGCAATGCCACATGTCTTTGGAGAGCCAAACTGCAGTACTGGAAAAGATGTGTTCCCCTAGCAGTGGTCCTGAGCCTGGGCCAGCAAGGCCCCACTTCAACCCAAAAGGGAGTGGACAGAAAGTGTCTGTCCCAGGGTATGTGCTGGGAAAGCACCCAGACAAGGATCTGCTAGAGAAGTGGATCACAAAACCCAGTCCAAACCCTCCCTGTAATCCCAGGCTCTTTTAAAGAGTCAGTAAACCAAGAGCTTAAGAGCTCTGAGCACACTCAGTCCAGCCCTCCCAGTATTGCAACCCTAATCTTCTCTTCAGCATTCCTGAAAAGTATAAATTGCACAGAGTTATCCCATGGTTTTGTAATGTGGCCTTAAATGTCACACCAAAACCATCCACCCAGTTTTGTTTCTCTGTGCAGATCCATTTGTATCAAGGTCTCCAATGAAAGACCTTCTCCTCCTGCTGACCAAACATCAAAAGCCAAGTCTTCATCTTAAAAGCAACACAGCTCTTCATCTGCCCTCTCTGAATTTAGCTTCCCACCAGACTAAAAAGACCAGCTAACCTGGAGAATGTCATCTACATCAAAAATATGGAAAAAGCTAGTCAAAGCTGAGACAAGATCCAAGATTAGATTCCCCCATTAGGTGAAGATCTGCTCACTACAGGATTAAAATCCCTTTTGTGTCACCTGGTTCCAAATCAGTCTAGGGCAATTTAGATCTGGGTGCACAATGCTCTATCTGGCTCCTGAGATCCATCCAGCCTGGCCCTTCTCTGCAACTCACTGGTTCACCTGGAGCTTTGGAGGGTAGGTGTAACCTTGCAAGGGAATCTTCCACAGCATGGGAGCCTCAGGAAGCCAGTTTTGCTTGCCTTCTGGTTATTAGCATACTTCAAAAGATACCAGGTTTGCCTTAGCATCAGATTATCCTTAGAGATGAAGATGATTTTGAAGACCAAGAGCAAAGTCCATTCAAAAAATAAAGTATACTAACCCAGAACTGAAGCAGCTTTGAGATTCCACTGAGTCTTTTATTAGAAACCTAAGAGACTATGAACATTTTCCTAAAACCTTTTGCTCTGCCCCCAAGGTACAACATTGCAGGAGCTACTGTAGTCACTCAGGCTGCTGGGTGATCTTGTAGGGTTGGTATGACAAGGATCCCACTGCTTTGCCTGATTGTGCAAAATTGCAGAGAAAATAGGAGCATCCACTTTTCCATCTCCTTCCAATTATCTGGAAAACTCAAAAGATAGGTTTAAGATTCTCTGCAAAGAGAAGTTTGCAGAAGATGGAATCATAGACTAGTTTGGTTTAGAAGGGATCTTTAAAAGGTCATCTTGTCCCAACTCCCCTGCAGTGAGCAGGGACATCTTCAACTGGGTTAGGCTGCTCAGAGCCTCCATTCAACCTGACCAGGAATTTTCCAGGGATGGGACATGAAAGACCTGGGTAGGAACACAACAGGCACAGGGCACAATTTTAAGTAAATACACTTGTATTACTTGCAAATAACATGTTGCTTATAGGAGTAAGTGCAAAGGCAAAGGGTGGATCACCCAAAAGTGGCACCTGCACACTCAGAACCTGCTGCATCCCAGAGATGGAATCTCCACATTCTTTACCCCATGGATTGCCTGGAGCTGGAGTCAGAGTCCCTGGGGAGGAATGGCTGGATGCACACAGCCCTTCTTCAGAGAGGCCACACAGTAGAGCCAGGCTTGGGTCAGCCTGGGCCACTGCCCAAAGCCCTGCAAAGGCCCTGCCCGGGGTGCAGTGAGCAGTGCTGCCGGGCAAGGAGCTGGTGGGGACAGCTCATGGTGGGTTCCACCAGCTCTCAGTGCACAGGCTACAAAAATTCTCAGGTAAAGGAGCTTGTCTAGCACAACTGGAACTAATTCCAGCCCCAGCTGCAGACCTGCTGTCCCACACAGGTGTGTGCAGGTGCTACAGCAGGTAGGACAGCAAGGTAATGTGGGAAAAACAGCATGGCCACCCCACCGAGTGAGAGGGCTTAATAAAACCACCCCCACTGCCCTTCAGACAGGCTGCTGCTCATGGACAGGAGCTTCTGTAAGGACAACCTGTGAGTTCTTTGCCTTTCACAAGAGGATTAAACCAGAGACATTTTTGGCACGAATTTCTACTGGTTTTCCATTTTAAAAGATTTTCTGTATCTGCACTTATTACAGGCAACTTTTATCAGTCACTTCTCCAGTCAAGTCCTAATTAAATGGCATCATTAAATCAGAGACTGCAAGCTGGTAGCATCTCACAGCAGATAAACAGAACCACAGAATCACAGAATCATTAAGGCTGGGAAAGACCTCCCAGGTCATCGAGTCCAACCACAAACCCAGCACTGCCAACTCCACCAATAAATCTGGTCAGCCAGGGAGGATCCAGTGGATCGTGGTGCCAGAGGTCCTGCTCTCACACCTCTGCAGATCTTGCATGACAAGTCCAAGATAAAACATTTAGTCAATAACAACAGCACAACACAAAGTATAACACAGGACAAGAGTTTCACATCCATGGGAATGGGGGTTGCCAAACCAATTCCTGCCACATGTGCTAGCCTAAACAAAAAAAAAATAAAATCCATAACTGCCCAAGTACAGCTGAGGAAGTTCTCAGGCTTTTAAGCTTGATCCCAAATAAAAGAGTGTGAAAGACCAGACCCATCTGCTCACCAATACCTAAGCCACTTTAACAAAGAAAAGGAATGAGAATAATAAGGAGCAAATGCCAGGTGTTGCAGGAGTTCTTGGCACAAGGAGAAGTATAGTATGACTGATAAATCATTTGAGTGAAAAGACTTTAATGAAGAGCAAACACTAATGCTGTATACTTTTAGGTGTTCCTAGTGACACCAGTTTGAGACTATGCTGGGACAACACCCAAACCATCTGTCTTGTACTCAGTGACCAGGATCCAAACCCTCTGCTGGCCTTTGCAATAACATTCCCAAGTTTTTGGGTGTAGGGTGGTCAACATTCAACTTTGGTTCAATCAGGACCAGCCAGATATCAAACAGGGTGGGAGGAGTCTATTTTTATCTTTGATTATCCAAACCCAGATCAAAGGCTCTGCAATACAGTAACACTCCAAGGGCTTTTGATAGTGAAAGGATGTTTGTCTGGTCACCATAGAGAAAGCAATGTCAAACATCCTGTCCGTGGCACGATAAGGAATGGGGATGAGAAGTGGAGACAGGGTTCTGGGGGGAGGCACTGAGAACTGGTTTGTTTAAATAACTTGTGCAAGTTTGGCAGGGAGGAGATATTAATTATTTCTGCAGAAGTTAGAGCCTGCCCCGGATTCAGGCCAAGCAGACATCTGAAGAGGAAACATCCTGCACACCAGGCTGGGTGATCCATGCACATTTGATAGCACACACTGTGTGGCCTGGATATCTCTGCTGACTCCCTCAAAGGCAGGGAGGACCTCTGGGAGACCTGGACAAATCAGAAAGCTGGGCAATCACCGACCAGATGAAGTTCAACAAGGGAAAGTGACAGATTCTGCTCTTGGGATGGGCAACCCTGGATATACAAACAGGCTGGGGAATGAGATACTGGAGAGCAGCGTCACAGGAGGGGACCTGGGGGTCCTGGTTGACAGAAAGTTGAATGTGAGTCAGCAGTGCCCTAGAGCCAGGAGGGACATTTGTGTCCTAGGGGCATCAGGCCCAGCATCAAGGCCTGGTCGAGGGAGGGGATTGTCCCACTCTGCTCTGGGCTGGGGTGGCCTCACCCTGATGGCAGTTTTGGGCACCACAAAATAAAGACATTAGGCCATTAGAGAGTGTCCAAAGGAGGGCAATGACAACGGTGAAGGGCCTTGAGGGGAAGCTGTATGAGAGTGGCTGAGACTTGGTCTGTTCAGCCTGGAGAAAAGAAGAGTGAGAGGAGACCTCATTGCAGCTACAACTTCCTGGTGAGGGGGAAAGGAGAGGCAGACACTGATTTCTGCTCTCTGCAACCAGGGACAGGACATGAGGGAATGGCATGAAGTTGTGTCAGGGCAGGCTCAGGCTGGAGCTCAGGGCAAGGTTCTTCCCCCAGAGGGTGCTGGCACTGCCCAGGCTCCCCAGGGAATGGGCATGGCCCCGAGGCTGCCAGAGCTCCAGGAGCCTTTGGACAGCGCTGCCAGGGATGCCCAGGGTGGGCTTGTTGGGGGGTCTGGGCAGGGCCAGGAGCTGTTGTCAATGATCCTGGTGGGTCCTGCCAGAGTTCAGGGTGACCCAAAGAGCTGGGAATCAGAAAAGGGAGGGACCCACGGGGCAGCTCCTGCAGCCTGAGCACCAGTGCAGCTTCCTAGTAAGTCCCATCATGTCCCCATGGACACAGGAGCTGTGAACTCACCTCAGCAGCTTTCCTGTGGTCATCCTCATTGTCCAGCAGCCGGACATCCACGCCCAGGCAGCGCAGGTAGCGCCCCAGGCCCTGCAGCATGTTGTCACAGACCACGCTGAACTCCTGGGGGGAGATGGGGGCAGGGGGGTGTGAGGGCCCCATTCTGGGTCCTTGGCATTCCTAGAGAAAGACAGGAGATCCATAAGGAGCAGAAGTCTGATTCCCAGTTTTGTGTTTTTACTCCCTGCTTTAGTTCACCCACCATGGCACATCCAACTGCCTCCTTCCACCTGTGTCAATACCTCCCCATGCTCTGCAGCACCTCTAGATCCTCCTTCCCATACTTTCCACATTGCCATCACCACCTGGGCAGGGGGCAGAACATGATGGGGCTAATTCTGAATTTGCCATTCTCTCACTGACCCGCTGGCCACCTGATCCAGGGACCTGCAGCCTTTCCCTGGAGAAGAGCCAATCTGGCCTCCAGTGCTCTGCACAGACATTCATCTTCAAGAAGTCACAGAAACAGAGTCAAGGCTGCTGTTCCTCTAAATTAGTCTGTAATTAATAAGCACGTGCCAAAGCTTTGACTTGGGACAGACAAAGGGAGAAACAGGTAGACAAAGCAACCACGTCAACTCTGTTATCTTTGGAAGGTTAAAAATAGACAGTGCCTGAATTCTGTTTGTTTTATTTCAAATGTCTGCTGCTGGGGGAGTTCCTGCACTTGGAGGACTTGGGCTTTGGGAGGCTCCCAGAAGTACAATAGCTAAATTCATGGAGAAGGGAAGTTATTAAGGAACTTCCAATGTCCAGCTTTTGACTCCAGGAACTTGAATCAGCTGGGATGACTGAAGGACACTGCCAGCAGCTATGCAGGGAGCCAGCACTGCAGATCAGCTCTGCAGGAGCTGGCCCCAAGCTGGGAATGCTGTGGCACACCAGGCAGCTCCACCTGGGCTCTCCATGGGAACCAGCTCAGGTCCAGGAGCAACACTGGTGTGATGCTGCATTTCCCAGCAGCTGGTCTCTGCACCCAGAGCTCTGCAGCACTGGGCAGAGTGGGCTGTCACCAGCTCCTGCAGGACCCTGGTCAATGCAGCTGGGACACCAGAGCACGGTGACAAGGGATGGAGCTGCCCCCTGAAGCTGAGGCAGTTGGAGACACTACCCTGGCTGCTGCTGCTGTTCAAGCAGATGTGCAGGAGCTGCAGCTGGCTCTCAGCCAGTGTTTATCCAGTGGCCAGCACTGTCGTACAGAGCTTTTTTCTCACATTTCATGCCAGCAGAGAGCAAAAAGCTTATAAAGGAGAATAGAGTCATTAGCTCCACTTCAGACAAGGAAACACTGGGAAAGAGAGCTTGGAGTCCTGCAGGATGCAGTCAGAACAAGTCTGCTGTTTTTGGTGTCCCAGTCCAGGTTTTACCAACTGCCTCTCGGCTGATGAATCTGACTGTACAGAACACAAGGATGACCCATGGGTTTCCAAGGTGATTGAAGCCTGAAGTGCTCACTTTTCCCACCTCTGCAGCAGCCACCCAGCTCTGCTGTAACACACAACATTCACATGAACACAATGCTCAGGGAGCAGCTGTGTTCTGCTGCCTGCTCGAGGCACATTTACTCACAGGTGGACACAGTCATCTCAGCCCAGCCATGGAAAGGGGCACGGACTTCAGGAGATCCACACACACTTGGGGCTCCTCAGGATACACAGATACACACAGTGAGTCTTCTCAGGCAATAACAAAATGAGATTTGTGCCAAGGTTTCCAAAGGTGCACAAACCACTGAATGGCTCCATTTTAAAAGTAAAATGTTGTTACTGAGAGGCACCAGTCACATTTCAAGATACTTAAGCAGAGTTGCACAGCTCTGGTGGAGTTTTAAGGCTCTGCCACAAGACAAACTTCTGGGAGAGGCCTCTCATGGAATGTGGTGATAGGCAAGGAGGCAGAGACAAGCCTTCAGCAGAAAGGCATTTTTGATGGATCATTTGCTTTTAACTTTTCAGACTTTTACTCCAGACACAATAAAGGAGATATTCCCAGTGCGAAAGCAAGGTGTGGAAGCTCAGTATAAAGGAAAAGTAAGGAAGTAAGAGTTTTGAAACCTTGGCCACAGAATCCAAACCCAAAATGTGGAAGGAGCATTTCCATGAGCAAGGCTCACTGGGCTTAGCACACAGATCTGCACCCACACTGTGCAAAGGCAAGTGAAACTCAAAGAGCAGGGAAAGCTGGACCCAGGCAGGCCAAGGAGAGAGCAGTGTCGTGGGAGGGAGGGGTGAGGAGCATGTTTGATGCAAGAGTCCTGAGAACAGCCATGCACAGTGAATGGTGTGACTGAGAGCAGCAGCGTGTGATTTGCAGGGGTCTTGAGCAACAAGCAGCTCTTTGAAGATGTTTACAAACCTGTCCAGAAGGTGATGGTGCTTCTTGTTTATTCAGCTGCTTTTTTGCCCTGGGTTTTTTGCTCTGTTTTCCCACCAGACTGTCTGTCAGGTCTGAACCCAGACTGAAGCTCTCGGGGTCCTTGCAGAGCCTCTCATAGATCTCCAGCAAGCAGTAGGCATCTGAGGCTGCAGGGAAGAGAATGTGAGCCTCAGCTCATATGAGGCTCATTCAAAAGTAAACCAGAGGTTTTCCTGAGGCAAGGAAGAGCCCCCACCTTTGTAAAAGCCGCTGTGAACAACTGTGAAGCTGCAACTCCCTCTAGCCATACCCTCAAGCTCCAGGACTGACTCACATGAGCATCACAGATGAACCCACAGTCACAGGGGGTCAAGGCAGCAGCTCCTAAAGACAGGCTCTGCCATCTCCACTCTAACCCAATAACCCAATGTAAGCTGCAGTGTGGCTCTTCCAACCACCACCAGGTAGCTCTAGCCAGCCCCTGTTCCTCACCACAGCTCCTTATCATTCCTCTTGACAGGAAGGGAACTTCCCCAGGAGATACAACATCTGAGCAGGTACTGCCCGAGCTGTTTGCAATCACCTGCCCACATTCACTGCTGTGTGCTGCTGCTCCCTGCAACAGCAATGGGAGAACTCTCCCAGCCAGTCTGACAAGTCCCAGTGATTAACTTTTGTGAGAACTGTGTCAGCTTCAAGGATAGTCGAATTTAACAAAGGGCTGGTTTGCATCAGCAGACTGTCCTTTGATGCACGAGGAGAAGATTTAGACCCAGACTTCTGACTCTGGGGTAATCAGCAATAAACTCTACAGGTCCCTCCACAGCCCTGAGTCTGTGCTGCAGTTTCTGACACCATACCTACCCATTTCAAACCCGGCTCTAACAAGCACTTCACTGTGACAAATGAATACAGAATTTTTTTCCCAGGAAGGCTGTGAAATGAGGCAGAAGGAAGTGGACTTTCCTCCTTTCAGTTACTGAGAGGAGTTTCCACTGAGGTGATGTTTCATCAGACAAAATCTGCAAAGCACAGGAATTCCTTCATAAGGGAAATAATGAATCACTGGACAGTTTAAACTTCAACCATTAAAGTCATGTCCTCAAAAGGACAAACAAACCATGTGCTGACTCCTTTGAACAGGAACTAATCTGCAAAGCCATTTTCTTCCTCTGCTACTTAACGACTTTCCTGGGGACAGAACAGCCAAACACAGCCTGGCCTGGGCACCTGCAGTACCCAGCCAGGGCCAGACCTGCATAGAGGATCTGCTCCTCCCGGAGCGGCCGCTTCTCCCAGTTTGACAGCTGCTCTGTTTTATCCAGAGGCTTCCCCAGCACATGCTGCACCAGGAGGCTGAGTCCCTTCTCTGGCTGCCTGACCCCTCTCTCCTCGTGGCTGTGCTCCGGGGACAGTCCATCGACCTTCCGGCTGTCCTTCCCCCACTGCAGCTGATGGAAACAAAAAGACAGAAACCACCTGGTTATGAAGCAGCTCCCAAACCACCTCCTATTCCAGCTGGTGGGGCCAGGCACAACCCTATCACATCCATCTCGTGCCTGGCACATTGAACCCCAGCCCTCAGCCAAGAGCTGGGATGGCACGAGATAAACATGGCGTTGGGTTATTTCTTTATCAGACACACTTGCTGGAGAGAAATCTCTTCCATAGACAAGGAAGGGAAAAAAGGGCATTCTTGTACAGCAGGGCTGGGATGAGGCTCCTTAGGGGTCTGCAGGGTGCTCACCATGCTGTAGGCTGCTGGGCATCAATGCAATAAAGGACCAGCAGTGGCAGTTCAGCACCTTCCTCCTCCTAGTCCCAGTGGGAAAAGGCATTCCTGTGACACTCTGGGCAGCAGCCCACTCTGCAGCTGCCATTTCTCAGCCTAAACTGAGGCAATGGCTGTTGGCAGCTATGTCAGCCCCTACAGCACTTCCCAGGTTAAGCTATCAATCCCAAAGATCTGCTTCACCTCAACCCACAGCCTCAAAAACACTCTGTACACTTTACCCATTAAAATGGTTGTGCTGAACATTTTTGCAGATTGCTGAAAGCTCCTCTGTGCAAATTCAGGGACAGATGTGCTTCAGCTGACCAGTAATTCCTGTGCTGAACCTACCAGCAACCCTCCTAGGAACATGAGAGTTCTGTACAAATCATTAACTCCACCATATCTGCTTCAATAATGCATGGCCTTGGAGTAGCAGAATTTGTACAAGAACTTCCTCTTCCTAAGTATAACTTGTGCTGAGAAACCTTGTCCTGGTTGAATGGAGCTGGGTCTCCAAGAGCTTTTCACAGCTTTTATTAAGACTATGAAAAAGCTGTCAGTATCACAAGCTTTAACATTTTAGTTGATGAAAACAAAATACTTCTATCTTCCTTTACAGAATCCCAACACCTCAAACCATCTGGAGGAAATGGTCTCTTTACTCATGCAGCCATCTCCCTGCCAATCCAGGATGCAAACAGACAGTGCTGTGGATTCAGGACAATTACCCACCAGCACATGCAGGAGACACCATTTCCCACATCTCCATGTGTTTATCCTTACTTGTTTGTCCACTGCAAGAAGATCCACCACACCTTGCATTTGCTTCTCTGTGTCTTTTAAAGCAGAACATGTGGCTGCAAGGCTGCCGAGGTCTCCAGACATCCCATAACCTGGAGACAAAAAAAGCCCAAATCACACAGGTAGGAAAGCTCAAATCACCCTTAATGTACTGCAGCTTCTTCTTCAGAGTCAAAACGCTGACAAAATATTTATAAGCATTGGTGGGAAGACTGTTCAAACAGGGAACAAGACTGGGTCCTGTCTCTTCCGTTCCCAAGAGACACTCCTGCAGATCAAGGGAAAAGAGAGGTACATGAAAAATTCTGAGTTTAAGATCAACCTACTTAAAACCTGGGAAAGGCACTTATGAATTTGCCTTTGAAACCCAGGTTTAGCAGTTCCTGATAAAAGCCTCCAAAAACCATGTATGGTAATTAATTCAGAGATCTTCTGGTGTCCAGCACAGCAGCTCTGGGACAGGGACAGCACACCCAGACAGCTCTGCCCACCAGAATTACCTGAACATTGAAGACTGGGTGTTAGTTGGGGATCAGTACAGACCTAGAACAATCCCAAGTCTGAGAGTGCAAGTTATATCAGGAATCCTGGATCTGACCTGAAATGGGGAGATATAATGGCATGGACCTGTGTCAGGGGAGAGTCAGGCTGGAGCTCAGGGCAAGGCTCTTCCCCCAGAGGGTGCTGGCACTGCCCAGGCTCCCCAGGGAATGGGCACGGCCCCGAGGCTGCCAGAGCTCCAGGAGCCTTTGGACAGCGCTGCCAGGGATGCCCAGGGTGGGCTTGTTGGGGGGGCTGGGGCAGGGACAGGGGCTGGGCTGGGTGATCCTGGTGGGTCACTTCCAGCTCAGGATTTTCTGTGGTTCTCTAATCCTATATTTCTATCAGTCCCAGTTACACTAGTCACTGTTTCCTGGCCTGGCAGTGCCTGAACACTCAGGGCTACAAAAGCTGGTTCCATGGCAAGTGGATTTATGGAATGACAACACCAAGAGGATCTAGGAATGACAAAAATACCAAAACAGTCAGTGTGAAGTCCCGAGGTGGGGAGGAGAGAGGGGGGTTACCTAGTTTAGTGATGGCTGCATCTGAATAGAGCATCTGGATGAAATGGGGAAGCTTCTCCTTTTCCCCCTCAGCCTCAGCTTGCTCAAGGAGCCGTGGCAGGTCCAACAGGAACACCTCATCCTTCAGTGCAAGTTGCAGAAGGGCGACACGGGGCTTCCCCACCATGCCAAAGGAAGGCTTCCACTCCATGTCCACACCAACGACCTGCCCAGGCTGCAACACAGACACTTTCTGCACCCAGAGCCTGCCTGTGCTTGAGAGGAGCCTGGAGAATCTGTCCAGGACATGAGCATTTCCTCCACAGCACCTGCAGCTTTTTGTGCAAACTGCCACAGACACAGGGAACTCTCATAGCACCTGCGTCACCCATGGGAAACTTCCCTGACACAATTCCTAACACCTTCCCCAAATCAGACCAGCCCAAAGGAACAGCTGTTCTTGGCTTGGAGAGGTAGGCAGTGGATGGCAGTGGCCACATCCAACTCTGTGTCTCAGCCTGACATGGAGTTCCAGCTCCCTGACCCTGCCAGGCCAATCCCAGGTAACGCTCACCTGCAGCACCTTCTCCCAGCACTGCCGTGTCTCCTCCCATGTCTGCAGAAAGTGAATATTTTCCCGTGGAATAGGAAGCTGGTAATAGTCCTTCTTCTTACTGGCCTCATAATTATCTGCTTTTGTGACCTCTTCTACCCTGCACAGAATCAGATGCAACAGTTTGAAGCCATTGAAAGCCAGGAGGAAATCCTGGATTGGAGCAAGAGGGTTAAGTTTTACCACCCTTATTTCACCCTGATCCTCTTTTTCCCCAGGACACTCAGCTTTTTCTCAGAAAAAAGAAACTAATCAAAAAGATCCAGCTCCCTTGGAGAGATCACACATTTCTGGATAGTCTCTTTCCCATAGAGACTTGAAATGGTTCATTATTTGGGAAACTATTAGTAACCTTATGTTTGGGAGGCTGTGTGCCCAATTTTGCAGCAGAGCAGCTCTCCCTGCACAAACACTCTTTCCTGTGGGTTTGTGTGCATGGGGAAGTCAATATTTGTGTAAAATATTTAATGAAGGTGTGCAGCCTCAGGTCTCCAGGAATATTCTCACCTGCAAAGCTCAGGAGCCCTGTGTGGTGTGACCAGAGACAGATGATGTCATTTATATGCTGGTGCCACCTTGTTGTGTGCAGTGTGAACTCCCTCTGGGAACCTGTGGCTGTGTTACTCAACAGACAGGGCAGCCAGACTGTTTTATGGGGTTTCATGGCTCTGCTGACTTTATAGCAGCTACCACAGCTGGTATCATGACTGGATGAGTAAACTGTAGTACAAAGGGGCTTATTCATCCATCCCAGCTCCTCACACAGGGCACAGCACACCCTCACCTGCCTTCCCTCCACAGCACAGGATTCCCACAGCACAGAGATGTAGCGATGGGTTTTATCTCTGGATGCACAGTATGTGGCTCAGCCACACACCTGTAATCACCCCTTTGTGTTTCGAGGGCTTATCCCTCATGGAAAAACCTCCTGGCTCCCAACTGGCAGCTGCTGTGGCTTCAGGAGGGAGGAGGAGGAGGGCAGCTCTGGCAGTGCTTTGGAGCAAAGCAGGAGCATGTCCAAGACCGAAAAGAGTTTCCTGTGCTCCAAAAAAGCCGTGGACCCTCTGGAGAAGTGTTTTGATGGTGATTACATCTGTGTTGTTGTATTTCCTGAGGTGACACAGTGCTTGAACAAGTGCAGATCTTCACGAGAAGAAAGAGCAGATCCACAAAACCAGGATCCCTGAACATGAACTGTTCAAGGCCATCTGTGAGACCTTCCCAAAATCATCAGCATTAAAAAATAATAATCAGTAAAACTTTGACAGATCTGCAATAACCTCAGTAAAATAGATGAATATTTGCGTTGTTGATCTGGCAGAGGAAGTGTAAGAACCCGCAGCAGCACGAAGCAATTTCACAGAGCTTCTGTGTACTCAGGATGAGTTTAAAATGCCCCTTTCACAGACATTTCCAGGATTATGACAAACAAATGCAGTATGTGCAGGGCCACAATGGGATTCAAGTATATGGGGAAAGTCTTTGCAAACTTCTGTCCCCATGGACACATCACAGCAGAAAATTTTAAGCAAATATACAGTGTTTGTATGACAAGCAATCTGCATGGAAAAGGCACCAAACAGGAGATTTACCTGTCCTGGATGTGCAGCTTCTGAAGCTCCTCAGCCACAGCCTGAGGCAGCATCTCGGGGGGCACCCGGCAGTGCTGCGCCCACCGCGCCGCCCCACGCGCGTCGCAGTGACGGAGCAGCGACTGCACCAGGTGTCCTTGGAGCCACCGGTTCTCTCCAACTGTGCTCTGCAAGGTCGGGGGGGAAAGCAGACTGTCAGTGCAGCTTCCATCATGGGGGTTTCCCCTACTCCTAGGAGGCACCCTCGTTGTGAAAACCTTATTCCTTATATCTAGTCTGAATCTCCCCTATTTTAATTCAAAACTGTCAGCTCGACTTCTGTTGCAACAGGTCCTGCTAAAAACTCCGTCCCTATCTTTTTTATTGGCCCCCTTTAAGTACTGAAAGGTCTCCTTGGAACCTTCTCCAGGTGAGCACCCCAGCTCTCCCAAACTGTCTCCAGAGCAGAGGGGCTTTAGACCCTGGAGCATCTTCTCAGGACGGCTTTCTTAGGATAGACATTCCCTGTCTCTCCAGGGCAGACAGTGGTGTGGAGTCTCCTCCATCCTTGGAAGTATTTGCACGGATCGTTGCAGTTGCCAGTCATCCATAGGTGACTATGGATGAGATTGCCAGTCATCTGTAGGGCAGGGAGGGCACATCAGCAAAGCTTTCCTGAGTGGTGTTCAGAGCCAGGAAAAGGCTGACATCACCCCCAAGCCTCCTGCCCCCAGTGCTGTGAGATGGGGGGTCCAGGACCCCTGGCAGCAGGCACAGCCATGGGTGGAGCCCAGGCTGGCAGTGGTGTCACGCTGCACTGGAATTCAGCTGGATGAAATGTGCTGTGTGACTCCCACATCCAGCTGGGGTGAACAATGATTGCATAAAGGAGTTCTTCTCTCTGTGTCTGTTCAAGGCCCCTGTGAAGGTGAGAAGTGGATCACTGCTTTGGGACAAATGCACTCTGAGGTGTCACTGTGTCACTCCCTATGTTTACACCTGCAAACAGGGAGGGCACTTTAGGACATTCCCTGCTCCCAGCTGTTCCCTGAAGGAAGGGAAGTGCCTTGCCCCACTGCAGAGCCTGGGGACACCAGCACAAACTCACCCTGCCTGTGGTTCAAACCCAAACCCCAGCTCTGGCCGGAGCATGGCACAGTGCCCATCATGGCAGAGGTCAGCAGCCACTTGCAAGGGGCAGTGACAGCTGAAGACAGCTGGATGCACCAGAGCTCTTCTGCCTTGTCCACCTCTGAGAGGTGCAGGTGTAAGAGGAAATACAAACACAGTAACACCGAAGATCACACCAGCTCCATGGGGTGGGATCTTCCCCCCCAGCCCACATGTGCTGCAAACATCCCGGAGCCCCCACAGCCTCGTAACAACTACTCTCTGACCTAGTCATGGATCTGCCCTTGAAGTTAATATTGTCAAGAAAACTGCTAAAACAAGCTGAAACCCTATATGGTGGCCCAGGATCTGTAGCTCTAGGACTGGCACTACAAACAAGAATTTGAGAGGGGTGAAATGCCCAGATCTGCACTGGAAGTCCATCCCCACTCTGCCCACGCTGCTGCCATCTGCCCTGCGCTGCCCACCCGCACTGCTCAAGGGCCCGAGCCTGTTCCCAGGGAGGGCAGCACCTTGCTCCCTCTGCCCAGCTTGTCGGAACAGCTCCCAGCTGGGTGGGAGGCCGTGGCCGTGGGGCCTCATTCCTCACATTCCTTCAGTAACTAAAAGGTGAGAATTTGTCTTCAAAGCAGACACTGAGATCAGGAAACAAATCTGTTGATGGCCCCAAGGTAAAAAGGAAGGGAAACAGAAAGCCAAGGAGAAAAAAAGATTGACCCCCACCCAGAGGTGCAGAAGGGGGCAGAGGCTCAGAACAGCTTGGAGGGATCTGGCACCCCAAGTAGCAGCAGCCTGCTCACAAAAACTGCTGCCTCAGCACTCTGTCTGCACCCTGGAGACTCTGCCAAATGCCAAACCACAGCTCTTCTCATGGATATGTGGGGGCACAGTTTTACTGCTGTTCCCAAGGGGCTTGGGGCACAGCAGGAGCCAGGGGGAACAGGACAGGGGTCCAGCAGCTCCCCAGGGGCTCAGGTACAGGAGGGAAGGGGCAGGGCAGGAAAAGGACAGGACACATTCTCGTGCTCATGCTTCTTGCCCTCTACATTTCCCCTGGCCATGCCAGTCCTGACCTTTGTGCCTCTCTCCCCACTTTGCCTTCTGTGATTGAGCTCAGCCAAGCACTGAACACGTGAAGAGGGGCTGAGTTAAACCCTCCTGCACATCCGCCAAGCCACTTCTCAGAGTTCTTCCCAAAAAGAACATATTTTCTTACGAACATTGCAGAGCAACTCCCTCTTCTTGCTCCCCCTGTGTCCATCCTATTGTCTTCCTGTCTTTTTTCTAAAACACAAACTCTTTGGTGTAGGAGCTCTCTTCAGTTCACCCCGAGTCAATTTTTAATAAATCTCAATGTGGCAGCTTTATTTCTGGAAATAATGAGGTGCAGATTTTTTAAATATTATTTTAATGATAAAAGATTTCTTCTTTCAACCACAAAAAACAACTCTGTAAAGAAGGTTAATCTCTCCAGAGATATCCCATCTTGCAATCTGAAACAGAAAATAGCTTTGTTTGTCTTTTTACTGAAAAAAAAAGAAAAAACCCCAACATTGCTCTAAAGGGGAAAGGCTTCCACCGCAACAGCTCTGCAAGAGGCAAGAATGTGGAAACTTTGGCCCCAGAGATGTGGGCACAGATGCAGAGAGCAATGTTTCACCAGGGATGACATTTCATGTGCTTTGCTGTCAGTAAATGAACACTTCTCAAGAGGAAACTGGCATGGGTGTTCTGATCAACATCAGCAACACCTCCGAGCAGGAAAAGATTCTATAGAGTATGAGGCTTGTTTACATCCCTCTTGGAATTCTAGACATATCATACATTCTTTAATCCATAGGAGCACACAGAAACCCCTGACACCAACAATAACCCATGATTAAAGCTTTCCACAGTGATGGCTGCAGATTTCCTACCCGTAAATCCTGTTCTCACCGCCAAGGCTTCACAAAGCTCACACCAACCACACAGGGGAAGCTCAGCAATGTCCTGACCTTAACCCATCAACCATTTCTCAATTGGCACCAATAATTTTGAAACCAAATATCCAATATCTCCCTTAGAAATCACTCTATCTAACCCTAGATCAGTTTTATCTGTATGTGTTAAGCTGCATTTCAGTCCCAGCCAATTCTGCCCTTTGCCTCAACATCTTTTCCCAAAGAGGGACATTATTCACACCACTGACATTGGCTATTTGCAGAGTCAGATTTTAATTTAACTTTTGAATGTCTTGGCCAATTTCCCCTGTTTTCAAGTGCTTCCAGAATCAACAAAACCCCCTCCTGCTAGAGTAGAGAAAATGTCAAGGAGAATATTTTAGAATCAGCAATTTTAAAAGGGAAAAAAGAAAGCAAGATTTGAAAAGGACAAACCCCTGTCAGCAGTGGAGGGCACTGACAGCACTGCTGAGTTCCCTGTGGTGTGGCAGGTACAGACACCTGTGCTTAAACATTCCCTGAACACGTCCCTGCAACTTTATTGTATTTGTGCTCAAGGTTTCTTTTTCAAAGTTTGAGCATGCATCACATCATTAGTGCTGCATGGAGAGATGCTGCAGTGTCACCATCAGATGTCACTGAAAGGAACTCCTTGAAGCATAAGGGTGGAGCTGGGACCCTCAGAACCAGCTCAGACCAGGGCCACAGCCTGTTCCCTAAGGGGAGGGGGGTCCTGTCTTCTGGAGAGCCTACAGAGATCCTGGAATCCCAGAATGGTTTGGGTTGGAAGGGATCTTAAAGCCCATCCAGTTCCAACTCCCCTGCCATGGGCAGGGACACTTTCCACTATCCCAGGTTACTCCAAGCCCCATCCAACCTATCCTTGGATACTTCCAGGGATCCAAGGGCAGCCACAGCTGCTCTGGGCACCCTGTGCCAGGGCCTGCCCACCCTCACAGGGAAGGACTTCTCCCTAATGTCTAATCCTGCCCTCCTTCAGCCTAAGGCTATTTCCCCTTGTCTTGTCACTGTCTACCCATGTAAAGTCCCTCTCTCTCTTCCCCATAAACCCCCTTCAAGTCTCAACAGGCCACAATAAGGTCTCCATGGAGCTTCTCTGCCTCGGGCTGGACACCCCCAGCTCAACCAGCCTGGCTTCAGAGCAGAGGGGCTCCAGACCAACTCTGTGGCCTCCTCTGGACTCTCCAACTGGTCAGTGCTGCTGTGGTGCTGAAGACCCCAGAGCTGGACACCGTGCTCCACGTGTGGAGGGCAGGGTAGAGGGGGGAAATCCTCTCCTTTGGATAAAAGAGGCCAACTTTCCCTCCAGTTCATCCTGAGCAAGGTTTCTGTGAAAACAGCAGGTCACTTGGCCACGGCCACCACGAACAGCCAGAACACCCCGAGAACACCCTGAGAACACGCTGCTTTCTCATCATTTGAGCTGCTCTCTCTCTCACAGGCACTGGGCACTAATTTATGGACTGCAGAAGAGCTCCATGGAGAGCCCCGCAGCCCGGCTTTCCGATAGCGATCAGCGAGTCCCAGCCGGAGCCGCAGTCCCGAGCGCGGCAGCCATTACCACATCAATGGCGGGGAAGGGGCCTGATCGTCCTGCACAAAGCCTCGGCACCGCGGCTCCCCGGGCACGCTCGGCTCCCCGGGGCGCGTTCACATCACCTCGCTCCTGCTTTGACAATCCGGACACTCGGCTTCCGGGCCCCCCGGTGCCTCTTCCAAAGGCAATTCAGAGGAGTCTAACTTAGGATATCACTGGCAGGGATCAAGGCAAAGGCAACTCTTAAAGTCAGCTTGCCTCTGTACTGGGACTCCTCACAGGGAGCTGATTGTTCTGGGCAACCTGGAGGAAGCTGCTGGTTTCTGGTGAGCAGCTGAACAATATTGTGTGACAGGATGCATCTGCTCCATGTTCCTGTGTGCCTCACACAAGCACGGCCAAGTGGCAGCCCGAAGAGTCACAGCACACAGCTTCTCTGGTAAAGCTCACCCCCACAGGGGCTTTAAAGGTCCCTTCCAACTCAAACCCTGCTGGAACTCTTTGACATGGTCACTGGGTTGGAGCACATGGGGAGGCTGAGGGAGAAGGGCTTGTTCAG